TGAAGGCTTTCCCACATTCCTTACATTTATAAGGTCCATCTCCAGTGTGTGTGATCATGTGTGTTCGAATGCTTGACAGAGAAATGAAGGCTTTCCCACATTCCTTACATTCATAAGGTTTCTCTCCTGTGTGAATTCTTTCATGTATTCGCAAACCTAGAGGAGAACTGAAGGTTTTCTCACACTGTTTACATTCATACTGTTTCTCTGCAGTGTGAGTCCTTTCATGTCTTCGAAAGGAACTGGGACAACTGAGGGCTTTACCACACTGCTTACATTCATAGGGTTTCTCTCCAGTGTGATTTCTTTCGTGTATTCGCAAACCCAGAGGCGACCGGAGGGATTTCCCACACTGTTTACACTGATAGGGTTTCTCTCCAGTGTGAGTCCTTTCATGTGTTCGCAACGAAGTAGAACAACTAAAAGCTTTCCCACATTCCTGACATTTGTAAGGTCCATCTCCTGTGTGAGTGATCATGTGTCTTCGGAAAGTTGTGAGCCACGTGAAAGCTTTCCCACACTCCTGACATTCATAGGGTTTTTCTCCAGTGTGAGTCCTTTCATGTCTATGAACAGACTTGCGGTAGCTGAAGGCTTTCCCACATTCTTTACACTTATATGGCTTCTCTTCATATTCGTGATACTCATATGGCTTATGTCCAGTGTGAGATCTGATGTGCCTATTAAGGGATGAATGACGCACAAAGACTTTTCCACACACGCTACATTCACATGGTTTTACTCCAGAAGGCGTCGTCTTGTTCAGGTTAAGATCTGGAGTCTGGGTGATGGTTTCTCCACACTGATGCCTTTCAGGTGGTTTTACTCCAGAAGGCGTTTTCTTGTTCAGATTAAGATCTGGAGTCTGAGTGATGGTTTCTCCACACTGACGACCCTCTTTGCTTTCACGTTTTTCTGCCATATGACTTCTGTTAAAAAATGGGAAGTATTTTATTAATGATTTCTTAGTAATTCATATTAGTAGGGTATCAGAATTACATTTTTATAACTTACAGCAAAATGAAGGTTTCCTATCCTTTCTGAATCGTTTGGAAAGTTAATATACTGAATGCTCCGTAAATAAGGACTTGACCACAGCTATTATGTAAGCAAAGACTATTAACATACAGGGTTTCTTTTTTGTTGTTTTTATCTACCTATCCATCCATCCATCCATCAGAAAGAGAGAGGGAGCACAAGCAGGGGGAGTGGCAGGTAGAAACAGACTCCCCGCTAAGCAAGGAGCCTGATGTGGGGCTGGATCCCAGGACCCTGAGATCATGACCTGAGCCAAAGGCAGACACACAACCAACTGAGCCACCCAGGTGTCTCAACATATGGGGTTTCTTTTTCTTTTTCCATATGGGGTTTCTTTATGCTCTTTCCAAGTGAACAGTTTTGCAAACACTCAACACCTATGTCATACTTAAGTAAATATTTTCAGTGAAAAAAATTTAAGGATAAATTTGAATAACTTGGGTTTTATTTATTTAACAATTTTGTTTATCCACTTGACAGAGAGAGAGAGAGAACAGGCTGGGGGAGGGGCAGGGAGAGGGAGAAGCAGGCTCCCGCTGAGCAAGGAGCCCAATGTGGGACTTGATCCCAGGACCCCGGGATCATGACCTAACCTGAAGGCAGACGTTAACTGACTGAGCCACCCAGCACCCCTGAATAATTTGGTTTTTAAAAATTCATGATATAAGATTCTCATGTGGGACACTGCTACATTGTGTGACTCACCTTAGTCTTCTCCCCTGGGTATTGTACCTATATTCGGTGTCATGATCTTTCCATTTTTTCTCTAAAATGCAGATGGAGAAAATATTCCGTTATTAGAAATTATAGAAAAATTACTAGATTTTAGGTCTATGATGAGCTTAGCTTACTAATGTACTATTTTCCCACGTCAGAACAAGACTGATGGGCAAGAAATACTTGTTCTCTAATTGCCAAAGTTCAGTAAGAATGTCATCATCTTTACCTATTGCGGCCAGGTTTCTGAAGGTTTCCCGCATCACATCTCTGTAAAGTTTCTTCTGCGAAGAATCCAGTAAAGCCCACTCTTCCAAGCTGAAGTTCACAGCCACATCCTCAAAGGTCACTGAGTCCTAAAACATCCCAAATATGTTTACAGTAGCATACATGAGTCTGACAGCACTGGGGATTTATACTCAATTATAGGAAGGTTATGTACGATTCTGTGGTCTCCAAACATTTATGTCTTGGTCATGAGAAACTTACTTTCTGTTCACACTTCCTCATAAATTTAACAGCATCATGAACACATGCAAATTATTTATTCATCTTTACTGTGATCACTTTAAATGTTACTGTTCTCTAATGGCAGGGTCTAGAGCACCTTGGAGAAATGAGAGAAATACTATACAAATGAAACAAGTATTATTTTAAGCACACTAATTCCTTTTGAGAAAAATGCTCTCATCTCCTTCCTTCTTACCTACCATTTAACTCAGCACTCCATGATGTACGGGGTCAAATCTGCATGAGGTTTTAATGAATAAAACACAATGAAGAACTGGAAGCTTTTTCTTCTAGTCCCATCACCAAACATGAGAGTCCAGGAGGCCTGTGGAAATGCAACTTGTAACAAGGATCAGCTTGCCATTATCGGCCTGAAGGCCATTAGAAGTAGCCAGATGTAGCTGGATAAATGAAAATATTCTTGTGAAGTAGTACTTTTCACTTGTGTAGTTCTTACTGCACTCAGTTTTTCCATTCTCTCTCTGTCCCATTTCATGGAGCCAGGAAGTTACTCAGAAGTTAGGGCTCAGAGATCTCCACAAAAACCCTATCCACATGAGCCTCAGGACTGCTGCTCACTTTTTAGGACACATACTGAAATGAAAAGGTGCTAGAGGAACTCTTTTTGGTCCAACTGTAATAGTGCCCTCTGGCCCATGCTAACCCTGACGAACAGGTTAAGAAGTGCAGGTTGCGAGGGAGTTCCCTGACATCCACAGTGGTTTGATGGTGAATCTGTTCATGATTATTAACTACATAAAGGATTCAGCAGTGCTTTCCTCCAAAAGAACATAAAATCGCCATTCTCCAACTTCAGGAGGAAGTTTCCTGACCAGTGCTCTAGAGGGAGCCCTCTCATTTTCTCTCACTTAGGAGCTCTGTGCCGTACAAAAGCATAACAGCCAAACCTGAGTACAGGAGTCCCTTAGTTGAGGACGCCACATGCTACCTGCAGGATATAAGAGACTTTACTCTATAACTGAGGTCTCTGGGGAGGAAGGCAGGCCTCTCAAGCAGGCCTGAAATGGCTTGAAAAAGCAGGGAAAAGCATGCAGACCTTTTTCCCCCGGAGGTTGTGAGTGGACTAAAGGTTCACACACAAGGGCAGGCGCTTGTATGAACTGATCCTCTTGCCACTACCAAAGCAGGAAGCACTAGGCTTTCTTACTGCCTTGGACAGAACTGGATCAAGGAGGAAAAAGGAGGGCTGAGCTTCAAAGCTGTGAGCAGTCAAACATGAAACATCGGAAGTCAAGAGACTTGGGGTTTTTTTTGTGGGGGGGGTCATATAATGAACTTAGAAGCAGTCTCTCCCTCACAAGGAAAAAGCAAAAAAGCTTAAACAACTCTTCTTTGACCCATCAGAGACTTGAGGACACAGGGCAAACCATTGTCTTCAAAACTGGAGACAGAAAAGAAGCTATTTTGAAATATGCCCAGAATATTCTATTCTTAACAAGGCCTGTCCTCAGAAGAGTGTTTCGCTGGGGCCTAAGCAAACAAAAATAGAACACAATATCCAAGAACTCTGGTATAATGACAAGGGTAAAATACAATGGGAATAACTGATGGAAAATAAAGACAGAAAAAGTAAGTGAAGCAATAATCACTGCATCTTCCTACCATTCGAGATCGCAAACTGCAGATCTGGGTAGCTAAGAGAGCACAAAATACGAAGGGGAAAAAACCCCAAACAACCAAAAATGCAAATTCAAGCACATCCTATTCAAACTGGAGAAAAATCGAAAACAAAGAGATTATAGTGAAAGAAGCCAGAGCGGGGGAAAAACAAACCTCAGTTACACTGAAACAGAGGTAAGAATTAAATTGGACTTCTTTCTGAAACCATTTCAGCAAGAGACTGGAGCAAAACACTTAAAGTGCTGAAAGGAAAAAAGCACCATCCTACAATTCTGTGTTAAAATTATTTTTCAAAAATGAGGAAGAAATAAAGACTTTCTGAAGCAAACATTGAGGAATTTGACATGAGTACACCTGTTTTTCAAGAAACACAAAAAGAAATTCATCGGGAGGTGAGTAAGAAAGAGCATTAGGAAAGAAATTAATGAAGGTAAAACAACTTTTCTTTTACTAACAAATCTGACATATCACTTTTGTATTCAGTAATAGCTTTTGGATAAGTGAAATGAATGACAATGTTACAAGGGACAGGGAGAAATTAGGAATATGCTGACATAAGGTAAACTCAGCAAAACAAAGTCAAAAAACTATAATTGATATGCTGAGAAGAGATAAAATGCTCAATTAAAGCTAAAGCCGGCAGAAAAATGGCAGAAGACAAACAAGGACAACAAAAAAAGAGTAAAAAGTACGGTAGATATTAATCAAGATTATCAATAACCACTTTAAACATCAATGGCCTAAACCCTACAACTGAAAGACACACTATAACAGCACATTAAAAAGAACTAAATATAGACACAAATAAACTTAAAAGGATGGAGAAAGATATACCATGCCAACAGTAATCAAAAGAAAGCTGGCAGAGTATATTAATTTCAGACAAAGCCTACTTCAAAGCAAGGAAATATCAGATAAAGAGGGAATCATGTAATAGTAAAGGGATCAAATCTCCAAGAAAATAAAACAATCCCTTCTGTGTATGTGCATTAATAACAGAGTAGCAAAATATGTTAGGCAAAAACTCATAAAGTTGGACCCATCAACACCCCCATATCAGTAACATAAGAGTTTCAGCAGGAAGAAAATCAGGAAATCCATGGAATATGTCATCAACAGCAAATACACATTCTTCTCAAGTTCACATGCAACATTCACCAAGACAAACCGCCTTCTGGGATATAAAACACCTTAAATTTGAAAGAACAGAAAATGTACAAAACATGTTCTCAGGAAACAGCAGCATTAATCTAGAAATCAATAACAGGAAAGCAGTTGGAAAACCCCAAAGACATGGAGATAAAAAAAACTTCTAAATATTGGGATCAAAAAAGTCTAAAGATATTATTTTGAACGATATAAAAATAGAATTTATCAAAAGTTTTCTGGTGGAGCAACTGTAGGAACCTAGAAGGAAATTTGTACCATTGAACAAATAAATCAAAGGAAAAAAAAAAGATCGACAATAACATAAGCAACTACTTGAGGAAACAATAAAGAACAACAAATTAAACCTTCAGCAGAATAAAACAGTCCAGGTCATGGTGGTGACATAGAACGATCCTGGACTTACTTTCTCCCACAGACACACTGCATCTAAATCTACATATGGAATAATTTCCTTGGAAAAACCCAAACCCCAAAAACTAGCTAAGCGGCTCCTACACACTGGATGAATGAGCAAACCAACCACATAAAAGCTGGTAGGAGATGCTGAGACACAATCTTGCCATAAACCCCACCACTGGTGCAGCAACCCACAGTTAGGAGGGAACACAAAATCCCAAGCTTCTCCCTGAGGAGTGAAGGTTCTGAACCCCACTTCTAGTACCCCTACCCTTAAGACCTGAACTTGAAGATGAGCCCCCAAACATCTACCTCTGAAAGACAACAGAGCCTGCATCCATGGGACCAAGAGGGCTACACCAACTGAAACAGTTATTAAAGGGCTCACATGTGCAGACTCACCCAGCCCAGGACCCAGCATAGAGGCAGCTGACTGAAAAGCAGCCAGGCTTTCTGTGGAAGTGGCTTGCTTGAGGAGTGCCAGGGGGGCTCATTCGGTTAAGCGTCTGACTCTTGATTTCAGCTCAAGTCATGAGATGGACATGGAACCTGCTTATGATTCTCTTTCTCCCTTTCCTTCTGCCCCGCCTTGCTCTATTTAAAAAACAACAACAAAAACGAGGCTTGCTTGCTAATCTTAAAGTGTCAGCTTGAAAGGCAGGCATCTAATTAAACATACATCTAAGGGCTCACTGAAATGTTCTTCAAAAACAGACAATGTGTGTGCTCCCCCTCTGCCTCACTCCAGCTCTCCAGGATCTCCCAGGAGCACGTGCCCTTGCCTGACACTCCTGATTTTTGCAGAAAATTTTTGCTGCCCAGGAAACACCTCTAGATTGCTTGGCTCTGGTGGTCAGTGGAGCTCACACCTGTGGGTCCCACAAGACTGTAACAAATGGAGAAAGAGTTCTTAACCGGCCACCACCATTCCCAGGGCACAACAAAGAGGCAACAGACCGAGGCACCCAGTCTCTGTCGAGGACCTATTAGTTTATCTTCACAGCTGTCCTCTGAGGGGTGAGCTGCTAATTAAACACGCACGGAGGACCCAGCCTATATCCTCTCCGGAGACCCGGGGTGGGGGTGGGGGGGACAGCGGTGCCTGAGTGCTGACAATACTGGCCTCCGACCCTGTCCAGGTTCGCTCAGTGACTTCGCCTGGGGCTTCCTGTTCCTGGCCCCTCGGAGGTCAATACACATACGTCAGGAATGCCCACCACGGCTGGAATGAGGGGAGGCTTGTTTGGCCTTCCATCAATCACAGGTGGTGCCACAAGATCCGATGAAAGGCCAGCTGTCCATTAGGTGCGTGCACGCTCTCTGACCTCACTGCAGTGTCCTCCTGTGTGTCCCCTTCCTCTAGAAAATCTGTGGACTGGGGCCTGGACTTGTGGAGAATAACTATGTGGCTGCCGTGGACCATCCTCTGCCCAACTCTCCTACCAATAAGTTAGCCTGAATAGAACTGTAAACTGTATGAAGTGGCCTGTTTTGTTTTTGGTCTCAAAGTGCCTTCTCAGTTTGAGGGATACTTCACTGTCTCTCCTCCATCTTCTAACAAGTGGGCACCATCTTCACATGCTTCCTCTGCCCTGCCTCAGGCCCCCCATGCCATACAAATCTCTAACATAAGAGCTCG